ATTAATTATCTATACCTTCAAATATATCTGTCATTTTACATATCTGTAAAAAGGTTGCACCTTTACACCAAGCATATACAACATCCATCAGGTATGGTTTAAATCTTTCTACGTATGTATCTTCATCTAAGTCTAAATTAGCTTCAGTTGAAACTTTGGCTATCCTTCGAGCTAAATCTTGCATTTGCCTAAGTGGTCCACTTAATTCTTCAGTACTTTTAGGCATTTCATTAGATTTATCATCACACACAAAACAACTAATTAAAGCTACCATTTGTGGTATACTTAATGAATTAAATAAACCATTAAAAATCATTTCTGTCATTAATAATTCATCAGTTCCATTTAATTCACAAGCAACTCTGCCTTTTAATTCTATTACATCAGCTGCTGTACAATAGGCCATCCTTCGAAGTACTCGTTTTCTACATTTTAATTCATCCATTTGAAGTATGGATTTAGCCTGTTTTAGTTCTGTTTTTGCTTGTTTTAGTTGCACACCTAATTCTTCTTTATGTAAAAATTGTTCATATAATGTATTCACATTACAATCCTGTATTACAAAATATAAGTTAAATAAATTAAATTTAAATTTTTAGTTTAAATGATACTCATTCTTAATAAAAAGTCCAAAGTTTATATTTACATATATTCATATTTGAAGGGGGAGGGACGAAGAGGACATTCTTACCTTATGCAAAGGATGAGAGTAAAGTCTTTCTTCTAGAACTTCAATTCTTTTAACAATGTCTTTAAAACTCTGATCTTCAATGTGCATATCAGTTATGGGATTTAATAATGGCAGTCCATCTGGGAACCGTTTTTTCACTTCTTGAATGGTTTTCAATACACTTTTTCTATTATCAGTAGGCCTTAAATCATTCGGATGATATAATCTAAGAGAACTGATTTGGGAAATTAATGTATGTAAAACAGGAACAACTTCTATATCACCTTCCTCTCCATCACGACAAGGTAATAGACTTCCTTCAGAAGATTTTTTAGATACATGGAGTAAAATATCAATAATCAAAACGGACTTTTCCTTTATTGGATTTTTGGGATTTTTCTTTTTGAAATTTACTATAATACCCCAATCAAATGTTTCATTTCCACTTTTTACCTTTTAAAAATATAAATAAATGAAGAAGATAATAAGCAAATATGGAATATAGAGTTAATACATATAAATATAAGTTTAGATATTTTAAAATTACTTCATGTTGTATCAAACATACCTTTATCAATCTACCAGGTTGCAAAAATGGAAGTAAATACTCTGGTTTTGTCAAAAATGATCTAAATTCAGTACTTAATCGATCTAATTGCTCGCGAATATCGTGATATGTAGATATCTGATTATACTTTTCTATATTGATTTCATTATATGCAACTTCCAACTTTTTTACTTCTGTAAAAATGATAAAATATACGGAATAATGTTAAGTTGAATATACTATACTTTAACATACTTTCAATAGAATAAAAAAAAAATACATACTATTGTATAAATTTGGTATACAAGCTTGATTTTGAAATTGATAGAAACTTCTTTCTAACATATATTCTGGATTTATTTCTTCTACTCTAAGAAGATTGAGCACCATATTATATGTTAAATGGAATGCAGAATTTATTGGATCTGGTTTTCCTTGTACAATTTCTTTACAGACAACCGGTTTAACTTGTTCATCGATCATTAAAATAACTATTCCTTTTTCATCCAAGCCTCTCCTACCAGCACGTCCAGACATTTGGATATATTCTCCAGATGTAATCCAACGAAAATTTTTGCCATCAAATTTACGTGGCGCTGTAAATAAAACTGTTCTTGCAGGCATATTTAATCCCATTGCAAAAGTTTCCGTGGCAAATAATGCTTTAATTAATCCTTCACCAAATAAAATTTCCACAGTTTCTTTTAGAATAGGCAAGAGTCCTCCATGATGAATACCAATACCACGTCTTAAAAGAGGAAGTACGTTCTCGACTTGTGGTAATCGTCTGTCTTCTTCGCTTAAAACATCCATAGCATTGTTGAAAACTTCATCTACTAATTTTTTTTCTTCCAATGTATTTAAATCTAATTGTGCCATTTGCATTGCATAGATTTCACAATCTTTTTTAGAGAAACTAAAGATAATAACCGGGGCAAAATTTCTTTCCATAATCATCTTTACCATTTTAAAAATATTTGTTTGTCCGTCATTTGTTACTCGAAGGCCACCTTTACGACCTTTCGTATCACCTTTAGCAGCATCTCCGTGTTGAAGACAAGCCATGGCTCTATTGAAATTTTCCTCTTTGAATTGTCCTGTTTCATCTACAACCTATTATTACAAAAAAACATAAATTATAATACTTCTTGCATTCTATTTTACTAAAGGAAATAATCATCAAGTATTCTATATACCAAATGAATACCATCTCCACCAACTGGAAATATATAGTGTTGTAACGGTGTTGGTCGATAGTCAGTATAAACAACATGACATGGTTGTTTATGTAAATGAGCAACCCACTCAACAAACTGACGTGCATTAGGTATAGTAGCAGATAGAAACACATAATGTACATTATCAGGTAAAAGAATTAGAGTTTCTTCCCATACTACGCCTCTTTCTTTGTCACGCATATAATGAATTTCATCAAATATTACCCAACCAACTTCTCGCATAACCTAAAGATAATAGATATTTGGTGTTAAAATTAATAGAATACATATATATTATATGATAAAGATCATTAATTTTGTTAAACCTCAGAACCCCTATAAAGCATATTTCTTAAAATTTCTGTTGTCATAATAAGAACACTAGCTGTTGGATTAATTGTAACATCTCCTGTTACTAATCCTACATCCTTAAATTCTTCATAAAATTCTCTGTATTTCTGATTACTCAGAGCTTTTATGGGAGTTGTATATATTACTCTTTGTTTGTCTCTTAAAGAACAGGCTATCGCATACCTATTAAATGAAATTATCTCTTGTAATTATTTTGTTAGTTGCTAATACATATAAAAAAAATATATATACTCTGCAACAACAGTTTTCCCTGCCGATGTATGTGCAGAAACAAGAACAGATTGATTATTTTCAATACATAGTATTGCCTCCTTTTGAAAAGGATCCAAAACAAATTTATATTCCTTAGCTGGTTTGGTTTGTTTAGTTTCTAATGAAATATATTCTTGATCCGGTGGTACTGCTACTTCATGTGTACATGATTCTATTGTTTCTATAGTATGAATTTTAATACGTGATGCCAATTCATCTATACTATATTAATAATAAAAATTTCACAATAAATATATAGTGAAATTAAAATAAGACATATATTACTATCATAGTATCATAATAAAAAGTTTATTATATATTAAATAAATAAACAACTTTTATAAACGAATTAGCAAAAGAGAAAATGTAAAACAATTAACCTACTTGATATCGTCCAAGAGTGAGTCTGTTTTTAGTTTTTTCGTCACTTGTTCTTCATGATCATTTTCAAGATCACGTTTCGATGTATTATTAGAATCAACTTTTCTGGATAATATTTTCAAATGAATATCTTTTATAAGTTATATTTATATAGATTACAAATAAAATTTGTTATATTCTTACATTGTATTAACTTCTTTCACTGATCTAGGTATTATTTCCACATCACTTGCCTCTTCAAAAACATCAAATAAATCATTAGTAAATTCCGCCATTGTAATTTCTTTTATAATGAAAATACAATGAATAAACAGAAATATATATTGAAAATCACACGTGTGCAGAATAAACACGAACGTATCAATAAATTTTCGAGTCAAAAAATCATAGAATGTGCTATAAAACCTATAGGATCATAGATTATATATCACTATAGAATAGTCCTACAAACGGTAAATTTGGCGCCTCAGATAATATGGTATTAATGAATTAACGAACATCAAAATGTGGACCAAAGACCAATCAGCAACGAGTACAATTTAGAGATTTGGCACTGCGATCGAATAGAAAGTAAAGTAATTTTTTAATTAAGAATGCATTAATCTTTTATTATTAAGGCTGTTCATCATTCCTGGTTTTTCATACTTTACGTCAATGATGAGAATAGGCATTATCTTTGATCGATTTTGATAAACAAGATTTCGTTACGATTTCGTTTTTTGGAATTTTTTCTTTGAAAAAAAAAAAAAAAAAAAAAAAAAAAAAAAAAAAAAAAAAAAAAAAAAAAAAAAAAAAAAAAACCGTTTTAAAAAATGGTATTTTATCAAAAATAGTTTTTCAAAAATTCGAAAAAGCGGAATTCTAGATTAAAACTTTCTTTTTTAAAATTAGATCTTACCAAAATTGGTCAAGAATTATACCTGTTCTTATTGTTGACGTAAATGGTACTTTTAAAATTTTTACAAGGAAAAAGTTTTGAATAGTAGCGCCCTTCGAAATCTGTGGGAAAAGAAAAGCTTCCCCCCATTTGTGATTTTCATATAGACGTTATATATTATTATTATTGTTACATTACTATAATAATATACAATATAGTAATATAGTAAATATATATATAAGTATATATATGCATATATATATATATATATGTATATATATATATATTAATAAGTATTCAAAAATTGTTTTTGATAAAACATTCAACAAAATCTTATTTTTTCGCAAATTTGCGAAACTAATTATTACATGTGTCAATTATATTTATTATTCTTTATGCATCTGTGTGAAACCAATGCATACTGACATCATGTCTAGCACAGATCACTGTAAGTGCACTATACTATTAAATAAAGATATACATATAAGAGACTGAAAAGTGCGAATTCACAGCTTACTAAACTTATGCAAATCCAAGCTTATACACCGATACGATAAACGTATGGTGAGACAGCAATATGCTTACGCTTGTAGTTCATATTTTGTCCAGATCTGTCGCTGAAGTCACATACGCTTCGAGCGAAAAGTGATGAACAGCCTTAATCATTTGAACTTTCACTTTAAAAGTATTCTCCATTTTGATACGTATAGTTTCCAGTTGTGTAAGATGAGTGGTAGATTAAATCGGTTTTGATTGTTAAGACTAGTTTAAAAGTGTAAGAAATATATTAAATCACCAAACGGAAATATAATTCTGTAATTCCCCGAATTATAACTCTATAAAAGCCCATTGTATGTAAAAATATTGCGCAGTCTACTAATATCAGTTCGCCATATTGGGTGTGAAAAGAGTTCAGATAAATGTTAACGTATCGTAGAATATATATTATAATTTAAATTGTAACGCATTTACAGTATAATAATTTATAGTCTTGATATTTGTAATTAATAATGGGCAAAAAAAAAGGTATGTAATTCTTTATAAATTTCATATTTCATTACATTTCGTATAAGATTTTTAACTACGTATGAGTATTTCGTAACAACTATACAATACGAATTATTTTTTTAGGAAAGAAGCGAAGCTCAAATCTTCCATCTGCTGATCCATCTAGCCTTTCCCAACAGGATCAAGTAACAACACAACAAGAACGATCATATCAGCAGTCGTCACCACATCATAGTGGACATGAGAAAGATCAAGGATCAAGACAGCCACAGCAGTCGAGTCAGCAATTACAACGATCTCGTCAACATGTAAATGTTCTGATTAAATGTTGATTTTTTTTAAAGAATTTTAAGTTATATGTAATCGTGTAGATGGTATTATATTCATATTATTTCTCCTACACATAAGAATATGTAAATATTATTTTTCAGGTTGAAGGTCAACATATGGTGCCATCTTCATCACAAGTATCACAAGCAACATCAACTTCATCAGCACCACAACAAACACAACCAATATCGTTTGCTTCGATGTTATCAAAGTCATCAACTCCATCACCAACTTCATCAGTACCACAACAATCACAATCATCGCACAAACCACAACAATCACAATCATCGCATAAATCACAACCGTTGCCACAACAATCACAACCGTTGCCGCAACAATCACAACAGTTGCCACAGAAATCACAACCGTTGCAACAAAAATCACAACTGTTGCCACAAAAATCACAACCGTCGTCACAAAAGCCACAACCGTTGACACAACAATCACAATCATCGCACAAACCACAACAATCACAATCATCGCAAAAATCACAACCGTTGCCACAACAATCACAATCGTTGCCGCAACAATCACAACAGTTGCCACAGAAATCACAACCGTTGCAACAAAAATCACAACTGTTGCCACAAAAATCACAACCGTTGTCACAAAAATCACAACCGTCGTCACAAAAGCCACAACCGTTGACACAACAATCACAATCATGGGCACAAAAATTGCAACCGTTGTCACAACAATCACAACCGTTGCCACAACAATCACAACCATTGTCACAGAAACCACAACCATTGCCACAACAATCACAATCATGGGCAAAAAAATCGCAACCGTTGCCACAAAAATCACAACCGTTGCCACAACAATCACAATCACGGGAACAAAAATCACAACCATCCCCACAACAATCACAATCACAAGCACCAGTACCATATACTGCAATACAAGAAAAGTTAACAAAGTCTGTAGCTGGTCAGTTGGCTCTTAGTATACCTGTAAGAAGAAATCCTAACGTATGTGGAACACTTGGTCGACGTATAATGGTCGAAGTCAATGTGATGGGATTGGAATTAAAAAATTTTAAAACAAATGTTACTCAATATGATGTAACTATTACTCCTGATAAGCCGAAGTTTTTAAGAAGAACTGTTTTTGAAGCATTTAGAAAGAAAAAATTTCCAACTCGTAACCCAGCGTATGATGGAAATAAGATTGCTTATAGCGCGAATGATTTGCCATTTCCTACATATGTAAGTATATAAAATTTAAACAATAAATTATAAAATTATAATAATTATAAAAAAATAACGAAATTTTCCTTGAATTAGATAAATGATATAGTTACGATTCTTGATAATAATCAAGAAAGAGAATTTCAAGTTGAAATGAAAAAAACTACTTCTATAGATCTTTCATTTCTAAAGGATATAAGACCTGGTTTTAATGAGACATTAGCAGTTCAGTCTGGAATGCAAGCTCTTGAAGTCATCTTGCGCCATGGACCTCTGTCATATTATATTCCGGTAGGTAAAATAAGTACTTTTCATTATCTTCTGTATTTTATGATATATTTTATAACTTTTAAGAATTATTTGATATATATTGTTACGACCCAGCCGGAGTGAACTCGAAACGAATAAGTCATTTCTAGATAATGAGAGAATTTGTCTATCTTCGAAGAGAATTCTGGCTGAGAAGACATAACTCACGAACGTTCGGGATAAATTACTATTTTCTTAAGAGAGCTTGTATATCTTCTAATTGTACATTAGTTGTTTTTGATAAATATTATAGTTCGTTTTATGTTTTTACACGGAGTTGTGTGGGCGCTCCTAACAATATTTAAATTATATATACTTTTTATTTTATTTATATGAAATCAATTATTAATTATTGATGATCAATTGTTTCGTGTTTCTATTTAAGATAGCTTTAAACTTTAAAATCTAGGTTTTTTTTTTTGTATGAACTCTAACATAAAATGATTTTGATTTGTTGAAATATGAGGCATAAACCAAAATATTTAAATGATATGTATAAATGAAATATCGTTTTTTTTTTACCTGTTAAAAATAGATCATTTTTCTTAAAATTTTGGTATATTTTGACAGGTTGGTAGATCAATATTTTGGCCACCAGTAAATAAGCCAGAAAATTTGACAAATGGTATGGAATTGTGGGTAGGTTCATTCCAATCTGCTGTATTAGGATGGAAACCTTTATTTAATATAGATGGTAATGTATATATTAGTTTAATGTTACAAAAGATTTTAAATGTTTTTACATAGACATATGTTTTATTTGTTTATTTAGTTGCACATAAGGGTTTTCCCAAATCTCAAAATGTTATTGAACTACTGAGAGAAATGTGTTTACGTGGAGAGAACAGAGATATTACTTCAGACGATGTATATCAGTATGTAGATAAAATAAAAAAACATTTAGTTGGATTAAAAGTTCATTATGTGATACCAAATATACCATCATCCAAACGAACACAAATAGTGCGTGGTTTCGTTGATTGTCCAAGGAAAAATGTATTTTCACGTGCTGATGGAACATCGTGTACTATTGAGAAGTATTTTAGAAATGAAAAAAATTATGTAATACGTTATCCTTATTTGCCTTGTTTATGGATAGGGCCAGAAAATAAGAAAATATATGTACCTCCAGAAGTGCGTTTAACATTTATTATGAAATAGAAATAATATATTTAATGCAAAGTGAAAATATCATTTATTTAAAAATTTTCAGCTTTGTACAATAGTAGCTGGACAAACAGTTCGAAAAAAAATGGATGAAATGCAAACTTCTAAAATGATAAGATTCGCAGCAACATCTACTGACAAACGTAAAGAAAAGATAATGGAAGGTGTAAGTATTTTATTAGCATACATGTTATGCATATACATGTATGTATAACATGTGTGTATATAACATATTTTATATTATATGTATTACATATATATATATATATATATATATATATATTATAACAATTATTATTACAGTTTCGAGCTTTAAGAATAAATGATCATCCAACTATGAGAAATGAATTCAATTTCTCTATAAAACCAGAATTTGAAAGGGTACCAGCTAGAGTATTAGATGCTCCTAAATTGAATTATAATAATAATAATATTGTGTCTGTAACGAAGGGTGTTTGGAGGCCGAAAAAATTTCTAAATCCAAGTACTTTATTTGATAATCAATGGACTATTGTAAATTTAGTTGATAAAATAATAAGAGACAGGGAACTGTACAACTTATGCAATATGCTGCAAGAGGGCGGTAAATATAAATTAACAATTGACATTTATTTAACGATTTCAATAATAGTATTGTAATATAGTTATTAAATATTATAAGAAACGAAATATTGTATTTTTTATTTTAGCAAAAACGGTTGGTATGGTTATGGGCGATGCTTTAAAACCGTTTCAGTCTTGCTATAATAACGTGTCTACATTGTTACATTGTTTTGGAAAATTGAAAGATAATGGGGTAAAACTTATTATAGTTATTATTCCAGACTTTAATGACTCATATAGTAAGTAATTTAATTAATCTATTAAATTATTCTCTTGTTCAATTTATTAAAAAAGTTTTTGTAATTATTCATCATTGAAGGTACAGTGAAGCAGGTCACTGAATTACGATTAGGTGTACTTACACAGTGTATTAAATCTATAACTGTTCAAAGAAAATTGAATCCAGCAACGATAGGAAATATCCTTTTGAAAATAAATTCTAAACTTAATGGCGTAAATCATGAAATTTCTGGTCAAGTTAGGTATGTCATTTTCTATTATATATATTTATAATACTATGTATAATAAATTTGATATGATATAAAATTTAATATGATATAAAAAAATATAAAAAAATTTATGATATTAGGTTGATAAAAAATTAATTAATGTCGGTTTTCAATTATATTTATATATAAAAATTCAATTTATATATAACATATCTCGGATTAAATTATATTAATTGAAATAAAAGCCACTGTGCAATCTACACATTTTTGCCAACACATTTCGGATTTCTAGAATTCATAAAAGCTTTGAAGTCATTTTAAAGATTTTCCCTTACAAGAAATGGTAATCTGATGGCGATAGATCAGGGGAGGATGTTATGATGGATTCATAGTCCACTTCGTACAATTTTTGGAATTCATAAAAATTTGGTAGAGTGTTGTTTCACTTAATTTATGCGGTACTCATTTGTCAATTTACTTTTTTCTTTTCTGATTACCTCAGGTGGTCAATAACAATTAGATGACGTACCCATATCTAGTGCGAGTTCTTGAGTAGTTGTTTGGATTAGCTTCAACCAAATCCTTCAATTAGACGTTGTCAAGGGCAGAAAATTGTGTCCACGACCTTCTTCATTTTGGAGGCCTTATTTCTGTCTCGAAATTTTTGAAACCTTTTTTACTGTGTGTTTTTACCTTTTGTACTGTGTGTTTCATTCACTATTTTTTCCACAGACACGCTTAATATTATAAGTCATTTTTTTAGTTTTGCAATCAATTTTAAATTCATACGAAAAACTGATAGAAATTTGTTTTTTGTTCAATTTTATGAGATCAACTGTTTGAAGTGAGTACAAATAAAAGATAAAAACAAAAAAATACCTGCATGAAAACTCTGACATCTGTACTTTAAAGAGTATAGAATGAATTATTATTATTATTAATACTTCAGAATCCGCATTTATTTCTTAAGAGAAAAAAAGAAAATCGACATTTTTTATCAACCTAATATATACATACTACAGTATATTAAATTCAAGATTGTGTCTACTACTAATTTTTTCTTTGCAGACCTAGTATTTTAACACCAGATTGTATTTTGATTGGCGCTGATGTAACGCATCCTTCACCAGATTCTAAAGATATACCTTCTATAGCTGCAGTAAATATTATTTTTATAAATTTCTTTAGCGTTTTATTACGAATATTCTAATACATATAACAAATTTTGTTATAATATAGGTTGCTGCAAGTTGTGACAGAACTGCATTTAGATATAAAATCGAAATTAGACTTCAACAACCGAGACAAGAAATTATTAATGATTTTGCGGAGATTGTTAGCAAATTGTTGAAGTATTATCATAAAACCATGGGAATCTACCCAAGGAAAATTATTGTTTATCGGTAAATAAGCTAATTAAAATATAATATCAAATTAATATAAATTTTTTCTAATATTGAACTTTAGCGAATTTTTCACAATATTATATTAACACATTGTTGACCGGTCACGAGTAAACTCGCGTTGTCATGCCAAGACGGTTCTGACCGATTACGAGTAAACTCGCGATCGCAGCGCCTTTGTTTCGCTTTATGCTTTTCAATAATAAACGACGCTCTATGGCATAGAGCCAGAGACATAAGATAAACTCTGAGAAAAACTATCGGTCAACAATATGTTAATAAACATTATCATTTCTGTTATAGCGATGGCGTAAGTGAAGGACAATTAACTCAGGTGTTACACTTTGAATTATTAGCCCTTCGAAAAGGATTTGACTCAGTTTCTACGGACTATAATCCCCTAATCACTTTTCTTGTAGTGCAAAAAAGACATCATATACGATTTTTCCCTACAGATAGTAGAAATTCAGATGATAGAAATTTTAATGTACAAGCTGGTACCATAGTAGACACACACATAACACATCCTAGTCATATTGATTTTTACCTTGTATCGCATGCAAGCATTCAGGTACATCGTTGAATAACGAATTTCTCTGTATGGTTCCGATTCCATAAGTATTACCCATATATTATTTTGTTCTAGGGTACTGCGCGACCTACCAAGTATAAATGCGTATTTAATGAATTAAATATGACAGAGGATCAAATCGAAGAACTTACATATTATTTGTGTCATATGTTTGCACGATGCACAAGATCAATTAGTTATCCAGCACCGACATATTATGCCCATTTAGCAGCATTTCGAGCTAGAGCATTTATACAAAAGTAAGTAATGACAAAATGTATAATACTAACTTATTTATAAAAATGTTTAAATGTTTAATTTGATATTTTTAGTGTTCCAATTAAATTACACGAGTTATCAAAAGAACAAGAAAAAGTAAGGGTTGTATTAAATGAAGATGTTCCGATGTTTTACGTTTAAAGATTACATCGATATATACGTATATGTAGAAAGAGAGAGAGAGAGAGAGAGAGAGAGGGAGAGAGAGAGAGAGAGAGAGAGAGAGAGAGAGGAGAAAGGAGAAAGCAGAGAAAGAGAAAAAGAAAGAAAAAAAAAGTTTAATTAATAGCTCTAATAATAGATTTTTATGTCACAGAACTTTTATTCCTGATACTTTATTCTTTAATCCTGTATTGAAAAATTAATTAAGACTAGAATATATTGCAAAATAATAAGGGAAAACGATAAGGGAATCGATCGTAGTATTTTAATATTGATTTGGAATTATACATATACATACATATATATATATATATATATAAGAAAACTTAATGTATCTTGTTAATTGTAATGTATTGCTATAAATTAAATTAATCTGACTTAATAAAAATTAAATGTACTATCTATATTATCGAAAAATTCAATTTTATTTCAATGTTGGTAATGCATATAATATCTTATTTTCTAGGGTCGTACAAACGACGATATTTACATTTCAAATTTCGCGGCATTAGAGCAGATACCTTTCGTATTATTGCAGATTTTGGCCAAGTCCTTTATCTATCGGTAGACCACACCGATGTTAGAAATTTTGTTGACAACGTATACATTAAAGTTAACAAGTTATTCGCTCATATATCGCGATATATATATATATATTTAATAAACGTTTTATATTATTACAACGTATTTTGTTATGGAATATTTGTGAAATTTAGTTATTCCAATGGTAAATTGTTTTATGCATGTAATAAGGAATCATAGATACGTAACCTCTGTAAAATTAAAAATGCAGTATCAATAAATGAAATTTTGGAATTGATAACGCGTACAGTGATTTATTAACAACATTTAAAGGGTAAAAATAATATATTTTATTTTAATATTTTATTTATAATGTAATATTGAGATTAACGACTTTAATCGACATTTTCTTCAACTCTTAATCAATTAATTACATTCTTTATAATTATAAAATAAAAATTAATTTATATATATCGATTACGATTAAAATATGTATGTGAAAATTAGTAAATTTCTTTTCAAATAAAGTTTCTGCTCTTATTTTATAATATACATTATGCAATAAGAAAATATTTTGTGTGTGTGTGTTGTGTATGTGCATGTGTATGTGTGCATGGAATTTGGATTCTAGGGGAGATCATTACTTCATTCATGAAACTCGTTGATTCAATGGTATTTCAAGGACGAGTAGGGTGACCTGTTAGTCCCTTCCTATGGGAAAAGATCTAAACTTGGTCATGCATTCCTTGTTATTTTTACAGGGGAATAGTAACATGATACAGATAGATTTTCTTTTTTATATGAGAAATTCTTTGTTAGTATTCCTTTTCAGTTGGACGCAATCGTCATCCTCCATTTAAGGATAAGATTATATAAAAATTATTTCCAAACGAATTATAATATTTCGAAAATTAAATGAACCGAGAGAAAATGGGGGAAAAAATAAAATCACAATTTCTAGGGGAAAAGAAATATGGAGAAGAAGATATGTATTTTTTTCATTTTCTTTTCATTTATCCATGTATAATTGAACGTATTTTATTATTTATAACGATCAAGGTTCAGTACTATACTGATATACAGTTTTATTGTTTTGTATTCTCATGTAATGAGACATATATATATCTGCGTATATGTCTTCTTCAGAATTGCATAAATCTCTACTGCGACGCAGATCATCGATATTAACCTTTTTTCAACCCCCTTTCCTCCCTTCTCTTCCATTAGCGAATTTACATTGCACTTAATTATCAAGACCTTTTTTCTTCGATCTGTTTCACCTGCCGTAGATCCTCGATCCCTATATGTATAATTTTCTATGGTTATTCAAAGGGTCTTCACGTGACCGTTGCTTTCTATTGATTCCTCTCGAGGAGAGGGTGCATGCGCCCTCGTCGATCGTCACTTTCATCCCTTCTCTCTCTCTCTCTCTTTCTCTCTCTCTCTCTCTCTCTCTGTCTCTGTCTCTCTCTCTCTTTCCTCATTCGCATATTACACCAAACACACACACACATCTATGCAACCTCTCCCCTTTCCCCAACAAAGAGGGTTGGAGCAGGCAAAGGCGCTGACTTCGGTCAGCAGAACGTGCTGGATGTCCAGTAGAAATCCTCCTAGTGGTGGGAGCTCTAAAAGAGAGTAGGGGTGGGAGAATGGAGGGGAAAACGATGGTTCGTCGCGGAGAAATCCGACAGTGTCACTTCCGTGGCGGTTCGGAACGATACATATATTTTTTCTCTCAACTCTTGTCGTAGTTAAGCTCGTCATGGTTGTCGTCGCTTTATTCAGGTATAATTATTTCACATCCTACTTTTCTTTTCTTTTATCTTTTTCTTTTTCTTCTTTTTCTTCTTTTGTCTCTATTTCCTCATCCTTTCTCCTTTATATCGATCGTGTCTTTTCAACTTTACGTGAAACATAATAGATATCGGAGAACAGTGAAAGAAATCGAGAGAAACTTTTTTCTTTTCTTTTTTGAAAAAAATGTGCTTCGTCGTCGATAGATGAGCAAGTGAAGTTTTCCTTTAATCGTGGAAAAATTATCTTGCGTCTTTCTTACGTGAGTGTTCTCCACGTTCGTGTTTCCAGATAGAAAATCATGGACAAATTTCTCTCCTACAAGTTTTATTTCTTTCGTTTTTTTTTTTTTGATAGACTCAATCTCTCAATTTCAATCCAAATCAACATCAATAATAATATTCAACGTTTTCCCTTGAACTTATCCGCATCGTACGACAATCCTATTATTTCCTTTTCGTCGTACCTTCTACGCGGGAAATTATCGATCGTGTCCATTCTCTCTTCGTTGCCGGTACTACGCGCGATTATGTTTCCACTCAATGCACATCTATAGATCCTTCTCTCACGATCGTTGCATCGGGTCAGTGTTCCCCGATATATATCTATGTATCTACTTAGTTACATACTTGTCTATTTTACAACTACGAACCGAAAACACACACATCAACGATTTATTTCGAACGAACATGCGAACGAGATTCTAACCTTACTCCCCCACCCTACCTCCGGTCCTCTTTTTATCTGAACACCCCCGTTGTTGTCTAGATTTCATTTAATAAATCAAATAATATGTATGTGTGCATATATGTTTTATTGGATACATTATATTTATATATATATATATATATATATATATATATATATATATCCATTTAAAATACTTCTCAAAGAAGTATAAATTTGCTTAGACAAAACGTGTGTCTTTTTTTCTCTCTCGCTCTCTTTCTCTCTCTTTCTCTCTCTTTCTCTGTCTTTTCTTCAAACATTCAAACATTCTTTTTTTCATTTTTCATACGGATACCATGAGATTTCAAACTGGTAGAAAGTAGTTTTTTTCCTTTTATACGCAAAGAGTAATAGCTGCTACCGTCGATCGTTGTTGACGTTCGACGAATTCCTCTACAATTTGCTCTGCATCCCTGAGAAACTTCTCGAACAGCTTGCAACGTGCGCGCTTGTTGCTAGGTGGCAGCGACGACTGTTCGAGAGAGGGTTGATATCATCAGACTCCAAATGTTCACCCCCTCTCTTAGTCATTCGTTTTTTCTCATCTAAATTATTATAATATCTGTTTCAATCTCTAAACATTGTATGTTTACATTTTAAAAATATTCAATGCTTTATGAAATCAGATTTTGATCTATGGAACTCGTCCATTGGAATACTTATTATTTTTTGCTACAATCATTTCTTCTTCTTTTTCTTCTTCTTCTTCTTCTCTTTTTTCTTCTAAGCGTTATTAATTAAAAAATCAAAAATTTTTCTTTGTAGCAAAAAACAGAAAAAAAGAATGTATATCTTTTTCTTCTAAAAGAATGTATATCTTGTCCTAATCCCAATAAGCATGGGTTGACGCATGTAAACTCTATCCGAGGCTAACGATCGAACCTTTTCCGAAAATAACATTGAATGCAACGCGGAGGATCTATTTTGAGATATTATACGTAGGAAGCGCATCGCTGTTATCCTCGTATAGTCACCAAATTTAACACTTAAAGAGAGAGAGAGAGAGAGAGAGACGCGCAAATACGCATACAAACAAAGGTGCGAGAGGTTCGTAGTCAAAGAATAAATATGAATATATACGATCAGTCGTTTAAGAAAAATTTACATAGGAATGTGCGCATATTCGAGAACTCTATTTATGACTACAATGAAGCGATAACGAATAAATGAGATTTATGTAACTCAAGAATGCTTCTTTCGAATGAAACAATATTATGTCGTACACAGTGCACATTGACAGAGTTTAAAGAGACATTTTGTGTGTGTGTGTATGTGTATTTATATATATATATAGATGGTAGAGTTTCAATATAGTGTTTACAAAATGTACAAGGTAGTAATGGGTACGCTTGGATTATCCTTTATCAGATAAAACGCTTTTCTAACGTTATATTATATACATATTTCATTGTCGTTAATGTTACATTGATAAAAATCGTGTACATAAAACACACAACAGTTTAAAAAGATTGAATTAAATATTAAATTTCACGTTAAAAAAAAGAAAAAAAATCATAAATATGATAAATACATATGTAATATCGATCGACGTTCGGTTTTTATCTTGTATATGACGATAAATTTAATTTTTGTAAATCTTGTTCTTTTTCAGGGTGGAAGCGTAGTAAAGGTTCAAGAAAGAGGCTGGACCATGTCAGGGCGAGGGGCGGAGTGGTGACCTAAAACTCATCCTCTGCGCCGCCGACCCTCGATGCTTACGCTACGGCTGGTGTCGACTCATTTCTTGAAGCAGCCATAGGCAGTGCCCTTCGCCTAAGAGAAAGGGCTCTAAATGCGATGTGCCGTGATAGGGACATGAACTCAGAGCTAATCGAGTCATACGAACTCTTGTTACCGTCTTGCTTATCTTCGTTGATGTCGAAATAAAAAGAAAAATTGAAAAAAAAAAAACAAAAAAAAGAAAAAAAAAATACAAAAAAAGAAAATTTTTAAAACGAACAAAAACGAAAATTCCCCCCAAAAAAAGAAAACAAAAAATACGAAAAAAAAGAAAGACGCTTGATTGTTACGTACACGTCGAGGATAAAAACAAATCCTCAAATTAAAAGAAGTTTTTTTTATTTTCTTTTTCCGAAAATACAACAGTATTTTACGGTTCTCTTAAATTCTTCCAATCGCTCGAGCACCGTTTTTTTATCTTATATACTTATGTATTTTATCAAAGACGAATCAATTTTTCTTA